TCACATTTGCGCATTTCCACGTAAATGAACTATCCTCCACCCGAACACCAGTAGGCATTTTAAATACTGTCGTGCGCTAGACGCACAGCCTAGACTGACCGGTCTGCAATGCTTCCATGATTGGGCACACATGTGACCCAGTGTATCGATGAAGCCACTTCCACCGTAACCAACGCAATGCTTTGGGCTAATTACTCTCAACATACGTTTGAAGCGTTGCCTTTTGAAGCACAATCCAAACTGCAGATCATTTAATCTCTTTCCATACTAACCAAACTGCCATCATTTTACCCTTCAAGCACCGGAGAAGCCATTTGGCCCTTTGAGCCCAAAGATGTGGTAAAGCTAAGAACGCTGCGTAAGTTCTACTGTTTAGCACATAGAAATGCCATTGCATGATAGATGAGATTTCATAATGCAGATATTAAATAATGCCACATTTCTCTAGGAATGTGAATGACCTTCACACGAAGACATCCGACATCGGAAGGCGTTTTTGTACGTACGATGCACAATAAAATGTACTATGGATGATTCGCCTTTCTTTTTGAAATACTGCGTCGTCTAACTAGCAAGAGTCGCGTTTTTAAAAGAAGTCCTCCAAATCTGAATGTGTGTGTGTGTTTGTGTGGACGCAATCGCAGGAGATTGGAGGGTATTAAGTCGACGATGTGGACCTCGTGTCGGCAGACTAGCAGGCAGAGACAACATTTGGATTAGGATTAGGCAACCTCTGTCTCGCTTGCCATGGTCGTGCCTCGTGTTCTCCACCTCAACCAGGATTGTGAAACAAGCAAGCCTAAGAGATCCTAGAGGATTTATAGGAGATGTGCGCGATTCAAATGATAGGTGAATTGTTCCTTGCGTTGTGGTGTTTGCAGTATGCCAATAATACGGGGAGAGTGGGTCCATAGTCCTATGCCGAGCCAGGAAATGAAGCGTCCATTCTGGAGATTGTGCGAAGAGGTCATAGATGAGGGATGTCCTGTAGGTCGCTGAATCTTGAGAGATGAGGTGGCACATGTGGCCGTGCATCAGGTGCGAGACGTCGTGACGGGATTGCTGCTCACTGTCTGCGAGTGTGAAATGGCAGGCTGGGTGGGAGTTTTGACTCATGCTGATGGGTTTCTCCCATTAGTACATTTTACACGACTCTACAGTCGGATGACAATGCCCGATCGAACGGCAGGGCAGCAGGCTGGTTCAAACTCAGTTGTCTTCATATGCACCAGTGCTTAATGGTCACTTGTTATCTCGAGATTGAGAGCTGCTGTGCAGCAGAATGAAGAAGAGGTGTAGCGAATGCGGAAACGTCTTCACGTATGCGACGAGAGCTGTCAACATGTCAGCATTCCGAACACCCATAATGATTGGTCAGTGAAGATTCAAGCTATACTCACAAATCCAAACGTAGATGAATCTTCTGTCAGAAGTCTATACACATACTATAAGAAGGTGTAGAGTGTTGACGCTTGATAAGTGAAAGAGAACGAGTCATTTTGCGCCGAAGTTGGGTTAATCGGTGAGTCCCACATCTCACAACATAGTGCTTCGATTGGAAGCGACGATTTCGGTTTGCACGTTGAACGCTGGATTTATGCCATGCGAGGAGTCACATTCTTGTGTGCGTTTGGGGCCTTTTCATAAAATGTTAGCCGAAAGCCTAAAAATTTGTTCCTGATTTGGAAAAACTGCTTAATTGGCATAGGCAGACTTGCAAATGCTCGAGAAAGAGAAATAGACATCGTAATTAACAACAACGCTATCGGGGAGATCACTTATGAAAACACGACCAGGACAGTTCCCCTGTCCTGAATTTAAGCCTAACACACTAATGTTAGGGTTGGCTGGAAATCTGAATCTGACAATAACCCCCGTTTTTCTTCATCTGAATTATTATCATCCTAACCCTAATTCTCTTAAATGCAACACTTGCCCACCTCGTATCCTCCTGGAATTTAGGGTACTGAGGCCAGTAATACGGGGATAGTGGGTCCATAGTCCTATGCCATACCAGGACATGAAGCGTAGATTCTCGAGATAGTACAAGGGATATAAGATGCTTCGACAAACTATGTTCACGGGGAATTTAGGGCATTGCTACGTGTAATTCTTGGAAAGAGGGTGTACAACGGCGTGCTACAAAGGCTGTTCATGGCCTCAAAAATTTCACGTACGAGCAGCGCCTGACGGCCTTCAACCTCTATCCCCTCCACTACAGGCAGAACAGAGGTGACCTCATAACAACGTTCTCGTTGGTAAAAGGACTTAATCTGGATGTCGACTGGGAAACGTTTTTTGAAATGACACCCAAGTCTAATCTCAGACGACATGATTACCAGCTTAAAAGGGAACTGTGCCACACAAATCAACGTTCCTCCTTTTTCTCACAGAGGGTCATTCGCCAATGGAACTCTTTCCCGGCGTATGCTGTGAATTGCCCTACCGTGAACGTGTTCAAGAGACAGCTGGATACTCACCTGCTGAAAGGCAACCCGAACTTCCGAAGCCTGATCTAACGGATTACTGAAATGACTATCTATACACTACTAACAGGATTTCAACAGATCCTTTTATGAGCGTTAAACTTAGCCCATATGGAAATTTTCACAGTCCGAACGTGGTGAACAAAGTTTTTCGCAATTATTTCGCGAATACCATGCCCCTTTCGCCTTTATGTTACATTATTAGATTTATGAATTCTCCTTACTAAAACTGAAAGCAAAAGTTTTGCAATTCAACTATTTTCCTTACATCTGTACCCTCTAAATGGAGTTTTCAGGGCTTCTGTCGTTTACTCCAAATATACTGACTGATACTGACATTTTGGCGCGGTCGATGGACGTTCGGTTGCTCGCTGGATCCTGAGGGAAGGGGGGGATCAGATGGCAGTGCCTGACGCGCAAGATCTTATGACGAAACAGGTGCCTGCTGTATGTCATTATAAAATGGCAGATAAAAGTGAATAAATGCGAGCTTGGCAAATGCCCGCCAGGTAGAAATTGTGTATAAACAAAAAGATATGTCAAATGACTGCCAAAGTACCATCGCCTAGATGGAAGGCCAGCGTTAAAACAACGGTGAAGCTAAATGCGCTGAGTGATAGAGCTATGGGGAAAGTGGACTCGACGGCCGCTACGAGAGGTGTGAATGTGCGTGGCATTGGAAGAGTTAGGGTCGGAGTCGGGGGGGAAGCTGGGGAGGGAGAGAGTTGGGAAGGTGGAGAGGCATGGGGTAGGGAAGGTGAAGGATAAGGGGTAGGGAGTCAGCAAGTTTTGTCCTGGATGCAGATCTGGCGGCTCCTTTGCGACAGCAACCCTGATCCGACGATGCTGACTACGTAGATAAATCTGGTAGGTCTTGGTGTTGCGTGCGAGCACACGGAACGGACCTTCACATGTTGATTCCAGCGGCTGGTGCACACGATCACACCGCACGAACACACAAGTGCAGTTCTCCAAGCATTTTCTCGACAAAAGCCTCTGTAGTTGGAGTTGGAGTTGGAAGGGGGAAAGCGAGCGCATAAACTGCCGCAAAGGATGCACAAAATTTGCAGGAAACTATTGTACCGTAGTATTCAGGAAAGCGACAAATACGATGTAAGTACTGAACTTCAACTGCAACCACCAAATCAGCCACAAACGCAGTTGTGTAAGGAGAAATCGAATATGTGGATGCCTTCGTATAGCACACTTCGTCCAGGGATACTGCCTTTCTGTCGGTTGATGTATGCCTGGTGGCAGTTCCACCGTCACAGTGAATTGATTTCTAGGGGGATTAAACCTGGGCGGCATCATCCGCGCCCTCTCTCCACCCTCACCCACCTAGGCTTTGTGTCAAGACGGAGTCTGGTGTTGAGGGGGAAAGGGGTGACAGCCAGCCCAAATGAGCTACAGGGTTAGTAATAGAGGTTAGGTTTACTACACACGACACGACAGTTCGACCATCGATTTCGATGATGTCCACCGTGTGCCCCACAGCTACAGCAGCGGTGGGAGCAGGGACGGTGACTTACGCAATTGTTTATAGTGCCAGTAGACTAGCGCTGCATCTACCTACACTCTCTCCTCCTCCCCCGTCTGAGCCCGGTGTCAAGACAGAGTCAAGAAGACCGGAGACGGGGGAGGCCGCAGGTGGATGGCTCGGACGGATCCTCACCTTGGCGTTCCACCACACCCCCTGGTCCACACACAAATAACCAGAATTTCAACCAACACAACAGAGATTTGGAGGCTGGCACGGCCGAAGCAGCACCTAGGGGTGCCGCCAACGTTTGGCTCGGATCCCACACTGTGGTAGGAATGCCATAAAGGCCACATTAAAAAGGAGCCATTGCAGCCTGACTCTCAGACCACCTCCAGTGAAGGTATCCCGTCATTTGGCAACCTTCCAAGCCACGGCTTTTAGCGCACCGTGATAGCTTCAATCGCGTCAGATTGTTTATAGTGAGGAGAAAGTGCGCTGAGTCGTCGACCTCACTCTCCCTTCCCACTCCCACACTCCAGCCGCTGTCCGAGCCGGTCAGTAGACTGGAGTGGGAAATGGGCGCGGTGGCTGACACGGTCGACTGACCATGCCTGAGTGCGCCACAGCACGACCTGGCCCCCCATACACACAAACACCAGGATTTCACACAACGGGGGTAGAACGGCGTGTCTCCCACTTGCGTGAGAGGGCCGTGGAAGGTGCTGCTTCAGCCCATCCCCAGCCCACCAGTCCGCCACTAAACACAACACACACACAACGTGACGAACTGCGTGAACCGAGAGCGGGCCTCAATCAGCAACCTTCCTATCCACGACACTTGACGTGTCGGGATAGTCTCGGACACAAGTCACCCGTGCAGCCGAAGCCGCATGGGGACCGAGTCGAGATGCACACTTCCCACTTGCGTGGGAGGCGGCAGTTGAGTGCATGAGGTGTGTGGGGGTTGATGTCTGGTGGGGTGATGGTGTTAGGAGGTAGGGAGTGAGGGAATGTGTGGTGTGACCGGCAGTTGTCTACCGCAGGTCGTCGTGGATGCGCATGTGGCCGAATAGACCCATGCGATGCGTGAAGGTGCGAGGGCAGTGTGGGCAGTGGAGGCGAGTGCGGTGGGTGTAGGTTGGTGCTCCAGGCACTGGTTCGCCAGTCTCTGTGCGATGGGTTCGCAGGTGACCGACCAGGCCGATGCGTGAGGTGAAGGTGCGATCGCAGTGAGGGCAGATGTAGTCCTTGCCCTCACGTCTGATGATGGAGGTTGCAGGGGTTGTGCCTGTTGTTGTGTCAGGTGCGGCTGTGGTGAAGTCATGCGCTACAGACGCCGGAGTGGCCGTCGTTGTGGCAGTGAAGGAGGAAGAGGAGGAGGAAGGGGAGGAGTGAGGGGTGGTAAGGTCGGTGGCGTCGATGTCGGCTGGGGAGTGGTTAGTGGGTGCACAAGGTGATGGATTGGGAGTGGGGCTCGGCGGGGTGGGTGTGTCAAGCCTGCGGTCAATTCCGCTCTCGTGGATGCGCATGTGGCCGAATAGGCCCATGCGGTGCCTGAAGGTGCGAGGGCATTGTGGGCAGTGGAAGCGAGTGCGGTGGGTGTAGGTTGGTGCTCCAGGCACTGGTTCACCAGTCTCTGTGCGATGGATTCGCAAGTGACCGACCAGGCCGATGCGAGAGGTGAAGGTGCGGTCGCAGTGAGAGCAGGTGTAGTCCTGATCCTCATCACTGGAATCGGGAGAGGTGGGGGTGGTGGCGGTTATTGTGTCGGGGTTGGTGATGTGTGAGACGGCAGTCTGAACGGCCGCCGCTGGGGCAGTGGAGGAGAAAAAGGAGGAGGATGGAAGTGGTGGTGCAGAAGGAGTGTCAGAGTTAGTTGGCGGAAGAGAGGAGGAAGAGGCGGGCGGGGGGACGATGGCTGGAGCAGTTCGAGAGGTGAAGTTGATCCGAAGATGTCCAACAAGTCCGATTCGTGCTCGGAATGTCCGTTGACATCGAGGACACGTAGGGAGCGGTTGTGCGGCGGCGTTGCGTACTGGGCGAGATTGTGATTTGCGGGCTTCGCGTTTCACTTTGGCGGCCGCGATGCGGTTGGCTTCGTAGATAGCAGCGCCCGTCTTCACTGTCCTCCTCCAATTCGGCCGATCGCGGGCGAGCTCTTCACAGTTGGTCGGGTTGATTTGCAGGCGCTTCAGGGAGGACTTCAGGGTATCCTTATAACGGCGAATTTGTCCTCCTTGACGACGAGAACCCGTCGCGACGTCTCCGTAGAAGAGTCGTTTGGGTAGTCGCTCGTCGTCCATGCGCACCAGATGGCCGCTCCAGCGCAGCTGCATTTGTCTCAGAATGGCGTAGATGCTGAGCATTCCCGTTCGTTCCAGTAATTCTGTGTCGGGGATTCGTTCCTGCCAGTTCAGCCTCGGGATGCGACGAAGACAACTGAGGTGGAAGTGGTTCAGTCGACGTGCCTGCCTCGTGTACACCGTCCATGTCTCTGCTCCGTACAGTAACGTCGGCAGGATGACGGCCTTGTACATCTTCAGCTTTGTGCTCAGTTGGAGACCGTGGCGATTCCAGACTGTGTCTTCCCGCTGGAGAGCTGCTGCACGGCCCTGATGGTCTTCTGGAGAGATGGCGGGAGGTCGAGGTACACGTTGGTCTCCACTTGCGGCAAACGCTCGATGGCGGCGTCGGAGATGACAGAAGGGCGGTTGAGGACTCCTCAGGATTTGCGTCTTCTCAGTAGACAGCTTTTATAGCGGAGAAGAAGTTCTCCCATTCGTTGCGGTCCGCGTACCCTTGGATCTCCTCAGCTTTGCGAGCAGTCCAGGCGTCCTGCATCTCGCGCAGTCGTTGCTGAAGCTGGCGGCGACTGCGGTAGAAGGCAGCTTTGGTGGCATCAGTGGGGTGATCTACGTAGGCTTTGTGTAGGCGGTTCTTCTCAGCTAGCAGATTTCTGATGGCGGCGTCGTTGTCGTCGAACCAGTCCTGGTGTTGGCGGGGAGCGCGACCGAGGACGGCGAGCGCCGTCGACTGGACCGTGTCTCGCAGTTGACACCAGCGGTTCTCCACGGAGGCGTTCTCGGCATCGGCGGCGTCGTCAGCGGCAGCGATGGGAAGGTTGTCTAGCCGTTGGGCTAGCTCATTGCTGAAATGGAGATGGTGTGCGGGCAAAGACAAAAAGGTAATATTCAGCTTACCTGGGGTCGTTTACCTTGTGGTCTACTGCGAGGCTGTAGGCGAATACGCATCTTCGAGGCGACGAGGCGATGGTCGGTCCACCCGTCAGCATCCGCGATCGCCTTTGTCACCAGCACGTCCAGCTGATCTCGCCTCCGGACGAGGACGTAGTCCCGCAGGTGCCACTGGCGCGACCGGGGATGCCTCCAGGTGGCCTTCTCTCGCTCCGGCAGACAGAAGAACGTGTGTGTCAGGATGAGGCGGTGTTCTGCGCAGGTGCGGAGAAGGAGCAGGCCGTTGTCGTTTGAGCCGCGGAGACCGTGGGGACCCAGCACTCCTTTCCAGGCAGTATGGTCTGTGCCGACGCGGGCGTTGAAGTCACCAAGGACAATCAACTTGTCCGCCTTCGGCACAGTCGCCAAGAGGGCGTGCAGGTCCTCGTAAAATTTGTCTCTGACGGCGTCGGGGCTGGTCATCGGCGGAGCGTAGGCGCTGATGATGGTGGCAAATTCGCCCCTACCCCGGAGATGGAGACGGAGGCTCATCAGGCGATCGTTGATGCCCTGCGGCAAACAGGGTAGTCGTCCCACGATGTCGTTCCGGATGGCGAAGGCGACACCCGCGTCTCGTCGCTCTGCCCTGGGGCGACCGCTCCCGAAGAAGGTGTAACCGACACCTACCTCCTCCAGTTGGACTTTTTCGGGGAATCGAGTCTCGCTGAGTGCGGCGATGTCCACCTTGTAGCGTGCCAGTTCCCGAGCCACTAGCGCCGTCCTCCGTTCCGGTCGGTTGCTCCTCGGATTGTCTAAAAGGGAACGGACATTCCAGGCTGCCAGAGTGAGTGGACTCACCCTGCCAGTCTAGTGACAACGAGTAGGGTGACGGGAAGGAGGTGGAGAAGAAGGTGACGAAGGAGAATAATAGGCAGAGGAAGAGGAAGAATAGGTAGGATGAGGAGAATGAGTATTGTTGTTGTTGTTGTCATTGTTGTTGTTGTTGTTGATTCGATTTTGATTGTTTCGACCGTGAGATTTGCGTCTGCGACCACGGTGCGCCTGCAGACGACGTGGTTCCCCAGAAATTTTTAGACCAGCTTTTCCAGGCACCCTCCGAAGAGAATCAGTGCCCGGTCCCTGAATAGGGCTTCTTGATGTGCCGGCGCGGCCGAACTCCACGGTGAGCCACGACTTTGTTTAGCAGTGGAAGAACGAATCAAATTTGCCAATGGCTTACGACAATGCCTTAAGCCTGCGGTTTCCTACGGTGCACCAGATGGGCGCGTGTCAGCGATGCCGATTCGAAGATCCATCCCACCGGGTGGCCAACGGCGTATCAGGCGGAGCCTCGTTTCGATGATGCCGATGCGATGTTCCACCAACCAGTTGACCAACAGCATAGACGAAACCTCTTCTCGACGGCGCCGACACGGTGTTCCATCCGACCAACCGTCCAACGGAGTCCGCAGTACCTGGTGCACGTGGCACAACGCGAGCCGTTAGTAACCGCCCTCACCTGGTTTAGCCCGCCGGTCGAGGCGGATGCCCGGGGTGTGGCCGCTGAGCAGAGCCCAGCTACGTGGAGCCACAGGTGAGGGTTGGATGCCAGCAAGTGGAGGCTAGGCGTAGTCTCACCTGCAAGCAAGTGAGCGACCACTACGAACATCACGTAAACCCACCGCTGACACCCCTACACCCCACACACACACACACAAGCATAAACACACACACACAAACACAAACACACACACACACGACGACAGTTCGACCGTCGATTTCGACGATGTCCGCCGTGTGCCCCACAGTAGAAGTAGGAGCAGGGACGGTGAATTGCGCAGGGGTTTATAGTGCCAGTAGACTTGCGCTGCATCTACCTACACTCTCTCCCCCTCCCTCGCCTGAGCCCGGTGTCAAGACAGAGTCAAGAAGACCGGAGACGGTGGAGGCCGCAGGTGGATGGCTCGGACGGATCCTCACCTTGGCGCTCCACTCCGCACCCCCTGGTCCACAAACAAATGACCAGGAATTTGACCACAAAACAATGTAGTGATGGCAGTGGTCCAGTTGTGCGACGAATGCCGACAACAGGGTACGCCAGCGCACCCCGCAGATGTTGGCATTTGTTATTGCGCACAGATAGCGCCTGCCAGAATCCGATTTGGCCCACTTGTTGATCCAGCGCATCTAACACGTGGCCCGTTTGGAGGGCACAACACACACACACACGATAGTTCTTCCGTCGATTTCGACGATGTCCACCGTGTGCCCCACAGAAGTGGTGGGAGCAGGGAGGGTAACTTTCAAAGGGGTTTATAGTGTCAGTAGACTTGCGCTGAATCTACCTACACTCTCTCCTCCTCCCTCGCTGAGCCCGGTGTCAAGACAGAGTGGAGAGGACCGGAGACGAGGGAGGCCGCAGGTGGATGACTCGGACGGATCCTCACTTTGGCGCTCCAGTCCGCGTCCCCTGGTCCACACACAAATGACCACGATTTTGACCGCCACAGCAATGGAGGGCATGGCATTGGTCCCAGTTGTGTGACGAATTTCGACAACGAGGACTGCCAGCGCACCCCCTATGCGTTGGCAATTACTATTGCGCACAGATAGCGCCTGCCAGAATCCGATGTGGCCCACTTGTTGGTCCAGCGCATCTAACGCTTGGCCCGTTTGGAGGGCACACACACACACACACTCACCTTGTCCGCGCACGATGGACCAGGTTTTCCCAAAGTAGAAGTAGGTTTTAACTGCCACCCCTAAAGGAGGTTCATCCACACTGGCAACACAACCCGTAATGTTTGTCCTCCTTAAGGCAGCCGCGGAGGAATCAACCAGAACGGAGGACGGTGCTGTTCGCTTAGGAACTGGCACGCAACATTGTGGACATCGCTACTCTCGGTGAGAAACACGGATCCTCCAAACATGGCTGGAGTGGCCACAGCTGCTTCTGGAACGGCGCCACAAACTATCGGATCCCGCAAATGCAAACCAACGTCAAATTAGATCTCCTAACCTCCCAAACTCCCTCCCCGATATCACCCGTACCATGCAAATGTTTGGCCGGCTGCAGAACTCCGTGTGAAATTGTCATGACCTTCAACTGAACACCAATCTGAAGATGTACAAGCCGGTCGTCCTATAATGAGCAAAGACCTAGATGAATGTCTTATCAAGTCATGTCAGGAAGCTCAACCACTTCCATCTCAGCTGCCTTCGCAGAATACAAAGGTTGAGATGGCAAGACAGGATTCCGGAAACGGAAGTCCTAGTTCGGACATTAAGTAGGAGCATTAACGTCATGTTGACGCAACTGCATCTATGTTGGTACGGCCATCTCGTGTCGATGAATGACACACGTCTGCCAAATCTACTCTTCTATGGCGGTCAGGCCACCGGTGCTTGTCTACCTGAAGGCCAAAAGCGACGATACAAGGAGACAGTGAAGAATTCTCATAAACGATTGTATGGCAATGCAAGGACGTGGTAGGTAGTAGTCTGGAACAGACGGGTCTGGGGAAAGGAAATGATGACTGACGCAGACATCTACGAAGGAGACCGGATCACCGCCGCCAAAGCCAAAAGTTCTGCTTGCAATTGGCAGGCACATCCGATTCGCCACGTCGCCACTCAACCACATTCAACGTGCCCGCTCTGTAAACAGACACTTCGCGCACGCATCCGCCTCGTCAATCATCTTCGGACCATATGCATCAACTGCCCGACGATCGGAATTGCAATATCAATCACCGCGCCAGCTCCAACATTCATGTCGACCACATCGGCACCCTCCCTCACCAATGTTGCTTCCAATACCCATCCGACCACCTACACTAACCTTGCCACCGCCACAACGACGACGTCGATGGCAACCACCGCCGCTGCCACCGCCAACGACCAGCATTTTCCTGACGTCCCGAATACCAACCAAACATTCACCATCACCACGTGAGCCGCCAGCGATTTGCACTCGGTCCAAACCTATCATTATTGCCACTGGACATCCAGCTCTCACCTATCGGCCTGCGCGATCACTTACAAATCCATCGCAGAGCAGATGGCGAACCAGTGCCTGGCGCAACCACATGCGCTCGCAGCGTCTGTCTTCTCTACTGCCCTCAATGCCTCCGCACATTCACTCAACGCATGGGCCTATTCGGTCACATGCGCTTACGCCTCCTGTGGATATGCTGGTCGTGAGTCGTGGGCATGGGTGCTTAGTCATCCTCGTCCCTCTGATTAGTGGTGGTGCTGCTGTTGTTGTTGATGGTTAAAATCCTGGTCAAGTGATTGTTTTGGAGTGTGTGGGGGTTTTGGGGTTGAGCGTCATGGTGTAAGCTCGGTCGCTGGATTCCGTGTCCAAAAATCGAGCAAATCGCTAAATAAGTCCACGTGAAGATCAACGAGGTAGCTGAGAATGTTAAGTGCAAATTTCAGACCAAATATCTGCCGTCTGTGTTGGCCTTTGTCCTGATTGTCACTGACGGCAAAGTCAAGCCCACTCTGTTCATCCAGGCGGGGGGGAGGGGAAGGGTCAAAATGAACACAGATTAGCAACCGGATGTTCTTCACAAGCATATCAAACCCTTGATAGACTCCGACCTGCACTTCAGACGACAATGTTGACGTCCTGTAAGATAGCGCGCCTCGGCCTACATCACAGGAGACGCAAAAGTGGCTGGAAGACCACATGCATTATTTTTGGCCCAAGTATATGTGGCCAGCATTCTCGTCCCCTCAACATTTTCGTTCTCGACGAACTGAAGTGACTTCTGATTGCATCCCTTCAATGTTGCCCAGATTAGGGCATGCCGACTAGAAGATTATTTGCGAAGCATGCATCTGCAATTCCAGCCCTATGTTTCAAGTCTGCAGATAAGCCGACGATTTGCTTCAGACTTGACCGCATGTTTCCCTTTCCGGCGTTCAATTTGGCAGATAGACCGGCAACAAGTGCTCAAGTAATAAGAGAAAAATAATATCAGATGAATTTACACGCCCAGACCGCAGTGAATTTATTCTGACCGCACTAAGCGTGGGAGGGACGGGGGAGAGAGAGAGTGAGTTCATTTGCGCTCAGAAACATGACGAAATCTGACCGTCAGACGAGGGTCATTAGACACACACATACCCTGCCAAACTAGGGCATCGGGAAACCGGTGTCAGTCGCGTTGACATATGATGAAGGAGAATAGCATTGTAGTGGATGTCTGCTGTTTATTAGAGGAGGAGAAGCCGGACGCGCTTTCCAAAATCCCCTTTAGGATTGGAAATGTTCACGTGCACTGCGCCGTAATAAAACCGAATTGGAGCACATAGTGGCAATCTTTGTTCTGGACGTTTCCTTTCTTGTAGACGATCGTTTCGGTCACATTTCAGGATTCACTCAAATAGGAAATCTCATTTTCCAAGTGATGAACATGTACTCCAAAATTTCAGAGAAATACTCATGAATCGTCATGGCCAAGGGTATAATCAAATAAGTGTTTAGGAAGAGAACGCCCCCCACGAAATGTAGTGAATGCTGTGATTGAAAATCTGGTCACTCGGTCTCATGTGACCGAGTTGGATAACCACGTTAAAGCAGGGCTGTTTTGAGGCAAGGAAATTTCATCATTCAGTGTTTCAATAGAGCAAATGTTTCTTGCTCTTTGGAATAGAGTATAAACCAAATTTCGCTTTCGTTGTGTTGGCACAAAGCTCAAGAAGTGCACGTATTGGCCTTTCCAAGTATCTTTGTGGAAAACAGATCGCCTTATTAAACCAGCTTCCTGTCTAGTCATGAGGACATCCAGGAAAGAAAGCTTGTTGCACTGCTCCTTTTCCATTGTGAATCTAATCTTAGGATAGAGACTGTTCATGGCAAAAATAGGTCCCTGGCTTCATCGTCGTTATCAACAATAGCGAAAATGCCGTCCACATATCTTTTGTACAGTGTTTTCCTTTTCAATTTTGCTGAGAACTCTTCTTCTAAGTGACCCATAAAAATGTCGGCAAGGGTTGGACCAAGTGGACTTCCCATTGCCACTCCATCAATTTGTCTGTATAGATGTCCATTGAAAAGAAATTGAACGTTTTTCGTGCAAAGTTTCAACAGGTCACGTAATATTTCGGGTAAAAGGCGGGTTTCAGACACATGGGCGCATGTGCTATCGATTGTCTCACCCAGTGGTACATTCGTGAGCAGTGATACAACGTCCAAGGATATTATGGTTTTGTTGGAAATGTTCTGATGCTTTATTTCTTCAATAAAATGGAAACTGTCTTTTATTATGTAAGTCGAAAATAGATGTCGTATTGGTTCTAATTCCTTGACAAACCACAGTGCAAGTCTGTGTTGGGGTGAATTAGGCATAAGCAGAATTCGTCGTAGAGGTATGTCCTTTTTATGCGTCTTTGGCAAACCATATAGTCTGGGGATACATGTGCCACTCGGTTTCAAGGATTGCGCGGTTTTAACATCAATCAGATTTTTATCAAACAATTGTTTAATTATTTTCCAGGCGGATTCTTCCACTGCGGTTGAGAAGCCGTCGCGAAGTTTACTGGTACCATTAAATTCTGCAGTCCTTGCTTGCTTTAAATTCATTCCGGGGAAATATTGCTTCAAATTTCTACGTAAATCATTTTGCCTCTCGCGAGACGTCTTTTCCTTCCTCATTTCATGTTTTTGTCAACGCATGGAGGTGACTCCTGAGTACATCGCGTCCATGTTACTTTGAATGAGACGTGCCGACTGGAAGATCGTTTGCTCCACAGGCATGTACAATTTCAGCGTCAGGATTCAAGTGGGCATCTTTGCTGACTATCTCTTCTTAACTTGCCGGCAATTTTCAATTTACTACAAACGGCTTGGAAGCAAAATCGGCAAGAAGTGCTCAACTAATATAAAACAAGTATTAGATGACTTAATACACTGGGATCGCAGTGAATGCATATTGCCCGCCTTAAGGTATAAAGTGGGAGAGACGGGGAGGGAGGGAGAGAGGGAACGTTCAGGTGCGTCCCGCAACATGACGAAATCTGACCGTCAGACAAGGGTCATCAGACACTCGCGACATCATGTCAAACTAGCGCATGATGTTTAATCATATTATGAAAGAGTGCAGTACGCTGGTAGGGGATTGCTGTTTAGCAGACGACGAACTGCCATTTTCAATTTCCTGAAGCCCATTTGGGATTGCGGCAATCCAAAACATGACGAAATATGACCATCAGACGAGGGTCATAAGACACACACACAACACCCTGCCAAACCAGGGCATCGGAAAACCGGTGTCAACCGAAATTGACATATGATGAAGGAGTACAGCATGGTGGTAGATGGTTGTTGTTTAGGAGAGGATGAGAAGCCGGGGACTCTTTACAAAATCCCCTCTGGAATTGGAAGTGTTCCCGTGCACTGCGCCGTAATAAAACTGAATTGGCACATATAGTGACAGTCTGTGTTCTGGACGTTCTCTTTCGTGTAGAAGATCGTTTCGGCCACATTCCAGGACTCACCCAAATGGGAAACCTCATTGTCGAAGTGATGAACATCTAGGCGTATTTTCCAAAATGAATGTGTTTCCGGTCAATTAGAAAACTCCCTCTAACTAGTTGCATTTTTAAGGAATGTCTTAATATTGCATTCTATTGACGGATGTCCGTGATCGTTACCCATTTCCCTCTGCGAGGTCGAGAAAAAGCTAACACTCTCAACCCTTTCTTCTACATCGCTAAAATTAAGTATTACATATCTTCCACCGTTCCTATTTAGTTTGTGGCAATTTTCACGATCATTACTCACTCTTAGGCCACTTTGTACAATTTCGAATCCGCTACAGAGTGACAACATGAGTCACGATATTTTGACAACATTGTTAGTGTTTCGCAATTTTCATTTCTAAATTAGATATATACAGAAAATAGACCGCATGAGAAGTACCGTTTCATATGTTCGAAACTGAAAATTGTCATTTGGCAATGGTCATTATTGTGCCAATCTATAACATATTTCAAAGGATTAAAAAAATTCGTCACATTTACATATAGGATGGCTTGTGTGTGTTAGAGCTGTACTTAAGGGCATAAAACCACACACATCATTAGAAAGTCGATAAATCCTCCGGTTCTCCAAAAATGACCACCGTGTTTGCGACCTGAATCTCTCGGTTGATCTCTGAGAAGTAATTCATTTTCAAGTGCGGCAAGATCTGTTTAATGAAACTCTTGGCAATAGATTGCTCTTCTCTCAAGAAAAAAAAACCCGATCAGATGCGCAACCCAAGTCTAGGATAGGTACTGGCACAAGAAATTGCACGAGTATATCGAAATGTCCACTTTCGCTCAAATTTATGAACATTTTGCTTGATAAAATTGATTAGACAAAGTTTTCGATCGAGAAAATGGCAGTTCCCGAGAGAGGCTGGACGAGTGAGTAGAACGCGCAAGGTGTCAGGTGTCTGAAAACAGTGTGAACAGGCGTATCTACAAGAAAGCACACGGGGAATGCCTGGTGGCGCACTGATGTGCCCAAACACTTGCGGCACAAAATCCGCGAAACCCGCATGTCGGCACGCTTCTGCTTATACCTGTGCTACCAGTATGATCTCCTGAAACATCAATATTCTCATATTGGTTTCTGTCATATGGTCCCGTGTCGTATGTCAATATTCCGAACGCCCTAATCTGTAGAGAGGTTATTCGAATTCTGCAGCAGTGAGTAATCAAGAGGCTGACCGATGACTGGCCTCAAGGCGAAGAGGCAGCATTACGCATTGTCTCATATTGGTTGGTTAAATGACGAATCGTAAGGCCAGACTGAATAGTTGAGCTTATAAAAGGACATGATATCGAGCTGGGGGTATACTCGCTGTCTCCCAGACCACATCCAAGAACATGCGCTTTTTCGCATTCCTAGCG